TTCAAAAAAGGAAAAAAGAGAGAGAGAAGATTTTCAACTTGATGCTTCTATTAGAGAATTAATATGTGTATCTAACAGTTAGATTGTCTTAATTACCCTTAGTTGCTATGGCTTTGTCAAGGGCAAAGTGCTTGATAAATGGAATTAAATACTAGGTTTAACGAAAGAAATTATAGCATTTTTCTGTTGATTTCCTAGGCAAGTCGGGAAAAATGTACAAAATCAATTGGCAAAAGGATAAGTTGCCTAAATTAGGATCATGCACACTTTGACAGGTCGTTAGAGTAATAAAACTACCAATTTAGGTCACTAAAGGTGGGCAATCTATTTCTTTAATTAGATTTTAAAACATGGAGGGTAATAAAGAAAAATACACTGTATTTTTTTCTTATTAAAGATTTGTCAACTATAAAATCAGATTAAAATGCTTGAAAGTCGAATAGAAAGAAAAAAAATACTGCCTTGATAATTATTAATGATATTAAAGAATTGACTTAGCCAAAAAAAAAAAAAAAAGGAAAAAATACAGCGACAAAGCATGCGAATCAACAGTTTGAAAAAAGAAATTCGTGTGCACACCTTTGTATATATTCCCCTTATAACTAGATGTATTATGTATTGTCAAAGAGAATATATCCCTTCCTTAATTTAATGTAATTCCCAGGACTGGCTTGGCAATGGCCAATCTTCTGCGTCATGCGTGAGATCACTGTTAAGAGAACATGATTTGGTGGTCCATGGTTACTAAACAAATACATGCTTTTGCTCTTAGTCATGAGGCGCTTGAACAAAAGCAGAGAAAAGACATACTCATGGCCATCTTAAACTCACTTTCACTTTTAAAACTTTAGTCTACTTTAAAATTAGATCAATTTATTTTCTCATGTTTCAGCTCTCATCATTTCATGAGTTCCATTCATATAAGCCTAGCTACAGCTTGCCAAAAAAATTAACTGTGCTTTCCTTTTGTGCCATTTTTTTGTTTTTAAATTTAATACTATTATTTATTTAAAATTATTTTACTTCAGCTTTTACAATAACATAATTATGCATCAAACGCAAGCCCTAAAAAATCGAGAAGCATATAAAATATGAAAAGTCTCAACAAACTTAATTCAAATCCATTTTCTTAGGTTCATCTTTCCAAACATAGCAAGAATATTATTATTTATTGATTAGAAAAATTATTAATTAAATATAAAATGTTATAGCTCCCAGAATTTACTATTTGAAGATTTGGACTTAAGAAGGAGCTAGGGATTCTCTATCAAAAGTAGGGGGTTACAAGGAAATTTAATGTAGAAAGGAAAAAAAAATATTGACCCAAGAGTCTTTTATGGTTTTTGAGGACCTCAAAGAAAGTTAAACGTTCTATAATTCTCCTCTTTTTAGGGGCCAATCCTTCCCACTTTCGTTTAAGAATCTTCTTTTCATCTGCTGTAGTGGGCATCTTATTAGCTAAGCATATTTGAATCTGCAGCTTTGTTACAGTAGTAAGAATTAGAGAGTACTAAATACTTATGCTAAAATGTTAATTTACATCAAAGGAATAGAAATTGTCTTCTTTCATATTCAACTCTTATATACAGTATGACATATATGACCAAATTTGCCTGCTTTTGGAATATGTCTTTTCTGATGTTTGTGTTCTTTTGGTGCCGCACTGCTACACAAAAAAATCCTTAGTTAATTACTGGATGCTTGAGCTCTAATATTTGTTTATTGCAGGGTACCTTGTTTTATGGCAAAGCTCTATTAATTTCACGAAGATTAGATTCTGGAAAAGAAATACGGTTAATTAACTGTTTGATCTGCTGCGCATGAATGAAAGCTAATCGGGAAAATCAGATAAAGGAGTCAATCACTCAACTGCATATAATTTAATTATTTTCTGGTACACTTTTTTTTTTTCTTAAAGAAAGAACGATCATCACTGCAACTAAATGAAATGGATACCCACCAAAATCCTACTTGATTGCATGTTTTACCGGTAGGAATGATAATATATAGGAAAAGATGATGTCATTGATTATTTTGAACCTCTAAACTAGTTTCAACTCAGAAACCTCACATATATATATATATATATATATATATATATATACACATCCCTACTCTCTCTAACTCCTTCCTAAGAAAAAAAAATGATTGGAGAGAAAATTACCTTTATTAAGGATATACAGGAGCAAAACCAAGAGCAGAGTGAGAGTGAGCATAAGTCAAGTTCAATGGATTTGGTCGATTAAAATCGATTAAATTTGGTCAAGGTTATGAAAAGTTCTACAACTTTTGCCAAAAATATATATTACAATGATTAAAAATAACTACAAAGATTATCAAATTACAAATGTTATAAAAAACACTATTATTGTTATCAAATTTCTTACATAAGTTACTAAAAACACTACAAAAGTTACCAAAAATATTATAAAAGCTTCCAAAATCTGACAAAAGTTATAAAAAAAAAACCCACAAAAGTTACCAAAATTTTTATAGAAAGTACAAAAACACTATAAAAATTATCTAAATTCTTATAAAACTTACCAAAAATACTACAACGGTTACGAAAATTATTATAAAAGTTATCAAAATATTACAAAAGTTAGCAAAATTACTCCCAATATATAATGCTGAAAATCTTGGGCCCTTACATGTGTAGTCAAAATGCGCCCTCCTTTATTTGGATTCACTGGTCCTCTTTTTGTTTCCAAAGATGGGCATAAATTGGGTTTCAACTTAAATGGAAATATATGAAGAGCCCATGCTAACTATGTTGGGCTATATTACTTTATGATCCTTTCACCTAGTTCTTCGGTGGACTATAAAAAAATAAAAACATAATATGTAAATTGTTCCCTAAATTATATCATATTTTATAATTTAACATTTGTAAAAAAAAATTGATATTTTGATTTTTCTTTCATCAAATACTTTGTGTCATTGATTAATGATGTGAAGTAAAATAATGATGTAATAAACGTTGATCAATAAAAATACGTCATATTTCATGTTTTTTATTTGTAGATTTCATATCATATGAACATATTATTAATAATATTAAAGTTTAAGACAAATGATATGATATAATAAAATTTTGATATCAAATCATAAATTTTTTTTAATAATATCAAATCGTAAAAGTATAATATAATACAAAAATAAATTACATATTAACCCATTAAAAAAAAATTATGGTACGTTGACTGTTGACCCTTTTCTTTCGGCCAAAAATGGGTAGTGGAAGAAGAAGAAGCATGACTCCAACCTCATTTACGTTTGTTAAACTTTTTAATGGCGTTGCCACCGCGGACCATTAATTATAAGTACGGCCCATTGTTTTGAGATTATGGCTACAAATCATGGGATTGGCCGATCGATATGAAACGATGGGCCATCCGCTATTGTAGCGCAGCAGCACTGAGAAATACAAAAGACAAGTCAAATTTTCCTTGTCATACAACACGATCACAGCCGTACACTTAAGGGGCCCCAAGGCTTTTGCATGTTGATAAACTCTGTTCGATAAATGATAATTCCAAACATTTTTGGATGGTGGTTTTTATGGGGGAAAAAAAAGGGAAAAAAAAAATTCAAACGGTGTCTTTGGGAACACATTTTGACTCTTAGGTGGATCTCTCAGACTCGAAACAGTTCTTCCCTTGGGGATCAAACAACAGGGTGGGGGCTCCTTTATTTCTTTCCATGGATTTCATTTCATTTATTCCAAATAAAACACATACTCCAATATATTTTTGCATTTTATTTAATAACAATCCACAATGTTATGTTCTTTCCTTTTCCCTGTACGGTTTTGGTTTCAATGATCTCTCCCCAAAGGACCACGAGTCTAATTCACCTACCAATAATTAAACTCTAGAAACTCAAAATCTCAATACCTATTGTCGAATTTTATGCCATTTTTTATAACTATAATAAGAAAAATCCGATAAACTTAACGCATGACAAAGTTTATATAAATTATATAATTAAAGTTTATGAAGTTTTTTATTAAAAATAAATAAATAAAAAATTTAAATTAATATATTGATAGAGTTTATATGAATATTAATAAATATAAAAATATTATTTATAATTTAAATTTAATCGATAGTTATTTAATAATAAAAATTTTGTTAATATTTTTTATAAAAATATTTATATACTAAATATATCAAAATGCATTAAAATTTGTTTAAAATTTATACATTTGATTTATATTATAAAATTTTTTAATTTATTTATTTTTAATAAAAATTTTCATGAATTTTACTTATTAAATTTTATATAAGTCTTTTTTAGACATAGTATACAAGTTTTGTATCCTTGTTTCTAATGTATGACTATTCTCATTAACAACCATTACACACGATAGAGAAAACCCTCTTTTTTATCTAGTTTTTAGGAAATATTAATATGCTAGAATATAATTTTTGCATTTTCCCAAAATCATTTTAAAGCATGAGATGAATAGTTTTAAAAAATTACAATAAAGGGAAAAAAAACTGTTTTCATTTCAACTGTTTAAAATAAAACATCGTAAATTATATAATTTATTAATAAAAGAATGATTTAATTACGAACCTCAACATTTGATTCGAGATATCGCAAGTGATTTATTTTATTTATATATAAAATTTGTATTTCCCCTTAATAACCCCTCTTTTTTTACTATTGAAAAAAAAAGCCTAATTAACTTTATTAATTTATTATTAATTTGTTTTATATTTTACTTCTGTTGTCACTGTTTCTCACTGCCAAAACTTTTCCTGAGAGCAAAACAAAATTGTGTTTTTATTTGAAAAAAACCCAAAAACATTGCCCTAAAATTTCGAAAATAGGAGTGTCAAAAAACAACATAAAGAGGACATAAAGTTGTCCTTTTTGGTCATTTGGACCCATGCATCGAATCGAAACCCATCTACGAACGCGTGTGGTTTCAACTCTCATAGATCAAACCGAACACAAGCGTTAATCCTTCTCTCTCTCGCTCTCTTTTTTTTTTTCTTCACAGCAAAACTAAAGAGAATTTCTTTGCTTTCTTTGTCGTATTGTTATTCTCTCTCTTTCTCTTTCTCCTAAGCCCTCAAGAATTCAACTTTTTCGTATTCATGAAAGCTAAGCTCTATCTTACAAGGTAACAAAAATCTTCTTTACTATGTCTTGTTTCTTCTTTTCTTTTCTTTTCATTTTTTTTTTGTTTTTGTACTTTTTTTTTGCTCTGCTTTTATTTATGGCTACAAGAAAAGAGTGAAGAGAGAAAAAAAAAAAAAGAGTTGACGATCGAGGTTTACAGATGTATAACAATGAAAACCCATTTGTCCAGGTTGGTTTTGGCACGTGGGTTTTAACGTTCAAGTTCTTCTATGAAGGTTAGCCATATGTTTTTATGAAAAAAAAATTGTTCTTTTACATTTTTATAGACATTTCTTATCAACCGTTTATTAGTTAATATGTTTTTTCTTACTTTTTTCTGTAGTTGTTTAGTATGTTTAATCAAAATCAAATGGAGTTGCATGTTAATTTTCACTGAATAATGCACAAGTTTTCTTGATTGATTTCATTATTCTGTATACTATATGTTTGAATGAGATCGTTTAGTATTCTGTATTGACAGCTATGTGTTTTTGGGATCGTTTAGATTGGTTTTATGTTGTTTTTTATCTGTTCAATCGGCATGTGAACATGTACCTTGGCATTTGAATATCAGTATCCACCTGCTTTTGGTTCTTGCTGTTGGTAATTTAGATTATTAAAATATAAATGTTGTTATCTGTTTTAATTGTAGTCATAAGCTTCATGCTTAAATTGAGGGCCCTTATTTTTTCCCTCGAGAATTATGTTTGAAATTATATTCACCACGCTTGGTTTAATTCTTGCTTAGCTATTGGTTGTTTTGCATTCGATTATTATGATCTTTTCTGATGAACCTAGCCTGCACAAGTTTTTTTCCTTTTTTTTTTCCCTTTTGATGAATGTTTGTCTTGTTTCATTGCATTCATAAAGTTTTTCAACACTGTTATGAATTCTCAAGGGTCCTACCTAAATCCCAAGCATATGTAAAAATGTTAGGATTTTTTCCCGCATTGATTGCTGGAAATTACTGATGTTCATACATAAAAGGATTCCTCTGTTTTTCAAGTTCCGTCTTTATCTTGAATTAAAATAAATAATTTGGAGAAATTATATTTGGCATATATTGACTTTAGCAGTTCCATGCAGGTCTAAGAGTAGAAAATTGATGCTGCAAGTACTTCTATCTAGAAATATTGAAATTCCCATGCATAATGATAGTTTTTCCATCCATATAAGGAGCTTGCTATGTTTGCATTCAGGACCTGATGAAGTAAATTAGGGCTCCAGGGCTGGTTTTATGCAGTCTTATGTCCATTTAATTTTTTTTTTTTTTGCTCAATTCTTGGGCAGATGGACACTACTCTTTTGGATAATGGCATGGAGGGCATTGAAGATGAATCTGCTGAACAATTACTTGCTTCATGTTCCTTTTTGGATGAAATTTTTGGAGATCCATATGTGATTCCTCGTGTTGGAGATCAATACCAAGCAGAAATTCCACCTCTAGTTGGAGAATGTCGTAGTTTACAGGTTGTAATGGAACCAATTGACTCAAAAGTCATAATTAATGTGCCAAACCTTTTTCCAATGGGATTGCCTATCCCTCTTTTCTGGACAAAGACTGAAGAAAGTATAAATGGTGCATTTGAATTTGAAAACAGTGAAGAGAGCCACATTACGTCAAGCCATGGATGTGCAGAATATAAAGTTGGAAGTCTATATTCTGTGTTGGGTGATGGGAAAGACACGAGAGGGTATGCAAAGCTTCAAGCTACAACCGGAACTAAGCTGGATGTTGATTTACTCTTTCCACAGGAGCCAAATTCTAAGCTGAATCTGGTGGATAGATGTCCTTGTCCTCTTCCAGGATTTTCGAGTGAAGTATGGAAGGATATTGAACTTGACAGTTTTCTTCTTGGGCTATACATCTTCGGAAAAAATCTTATCCTTGTGAAAAATTTTGTTGAGAGTAAAGAGATGGGAGAGATATTGTCTTTCTATTATGGAAAATTTTACAGGTCTGACGGATATCGCAGATGGTCAGAATGCCGAAAGTTAAGAAGCAGACGTTGCATTCATGGAGAAAAGCTGTTCAGAGGATGGAGGCAACAGGAATTATTATCACGATTATTTTCTCATCTTTCAAAAGAATGTCAAGATATGTTGCTTGAGGTATTTTTCTGACCTTTTTTTAATGCACAACACCCACTCATTTGATCTTTCTAAATAATTAGACATATTTATTTTGTTAATTAGTCCTTTTATATCACTGAGTGCTGTCAAGTTACACATACTCCCTTCCTAATCATTTTATATCTCTCCTACTCCCTTGAAACTTGATCTAGGAACACTACATTATTATGTTGATGGAGACGTTATTTTTTGTTAGTTAGCATGGTTTGTTAACTTCTGAAATGTGCACATAATTTCTGATTTTTATTTTCAAGTGGTATTTATGCAAATGTGCATCATCCACACTGCATAGACACATACAGTGTTGACTGTGTAACTTTTCAGGTGGCTGAAGTCAGGCCACTTTGGAGAGCAACATACTTTGAGCATGGGAATTAGTGATGATTTTGTGGTGTGTAATATCGTAAACCAAAAATAACACAGATGCTATACAGGGTTTGAGACGGGGAAATTGAAGCAAATTAGCAAAGAATGTAGGTTTAACTGGGGCCATGCTTGAGTATTCTGTTGGTTCATCGAAACAAAGCAGTGTTTCTCTTTGAAGATCTGTCTTTTAAAAGGGGCAACTAACTATAGGGCCGTCTTTAGAGGCTAAAATGGAGGAGCGAGATTTTTTTTTGATAATGGAAGAGCATGATTTTGGTTGTTGACTAACACATTCAGAAATATTTATGTATTAATGGAATGATAAAATATGGGAAAACACATATTTATAGTTGGTTATAATATTTTAATTTGTATATTTATATTTGTGTCTCTAGAATTAAAGTATTTGTATCCTTAAAATTAGGGATAAAAATTATGATAGACAATCTCTCAATTGTAGGATCAATTTTAAAAAGATTTAGTTTTCTAGTTTACTCACTAGTTAGTTTTATATAAATCTAAAGCACTTGTATAATTCTTTGATGAATAGTCTTTCAACATACATTTAGTTTTACTTTTAGTTTTTCACATAGTTTTATTTCTTAGCTTTTCCATATGATATCAGAGCCAGGTTACCAATCGAACGTGAGCTAAGTGCAACACCGTGAGAGCCACCTTTAGAATCCTACGAGTTAAGTGCTACATTGTGAGAGCTACCTCTAGAATCCCAACATCTAGTGTGATTCGATGGATCTATGTGTTTTATGCTGGGTTTGACAAAGACATCAAGTTTTAACAGGGGGAGTTTGTGATGCCTAATCCCACATCGGGATAATCAGACTTTCTACTATGATATATATGGATAGATCTAAACCTAAACTTGTCACACAACTTTTGTGGGATAAAATCGTAAGATCTTCGTGTCAAAGTAGATAGTATCTCGCAGGTTGGGTGTAGATTTTCACAAATGGTATCAGAGCTTTAAGCTCTTCTTGGGAAGAAAATTTTTACTATTAAGATTCGTTTTAGCCTTGAGAAAGATAACTATGCCAGAGATAGCAAAATCTGTTACTACTACCTGATTTGAGGAAGTAACAACTAATAAAACCATCGAAATACTATAAAAATCTTGAGAACAAAGAGGGTTGGACAAAGAAGAGATTGAGAAACTAAAAAGCCTTTAAAAGCATACCGGTTATGTGCTTTGGGTAAGGTTTCTAATTCAGGTAAAGCTTTTAGTTCTCATGGATTAAATGTTTCTATTAAGCCTATTATAAATTCTTGGGTCATCGACTCAGGAGCCATAAATCGTATGACACATTCCTCACAGAAGTTTAGTACATGTACCTTGTATCCAAGTAATAAGAAAATTGTTGTTGCAAATGGTTCACTTACTACAATGACAGGATTAGGATATATTCAAATTAATCCCTCGTTTGTTCTTAAATATGTTTTTCATATTCCTGGATTGTCTACTAGTGTGATATTTATACAAAAACTTACTGGAGATATGAACTGCAAAGTGATTTTTTATCCCTTCTATTGTGAATTTCAGGACCAGAGTTCAGGAAAGAGGATTGGGCTTGCTAAGGACAATGATAGACTATATTATCTTGAGACATCAAACAATACAAGTAATATCAAGAATAATTTACCTTTGTCATTTCTTTCTTAAAAATCTCCCAATAAAGACAAAATTTGGCTTCATCATTTTCGTCTTGGACATCTTTTTTGAAACTTTGAAAAACATATTTCATTTTTTGTTCAAAGGATTAAATGCCAAAAATTTTCATTGTGATGTTTGTGAACTTGCAAAGCATAGACGTATGTCTTTTCCAGTTAGCAATAAAAGGAGTTCTAATTTTTTTTATTTAATTCGTATTGACATATGGGGTCCCTCTATAATTCCTAATATTTCTGATGCAAGGTGATTTATTTTTTTCATAAATGATTGTACCAGGGTCTTAGATATTTTTACTTAAATCTAAATTAGATGTGAATAGTGTGTTTTTAAACTTCCAAAACATGATTAAAAATCAGTTTGGAGTGAAAATTAAGATATTTAGGTTTTATAATGCAAGAGATTATTTCAACCAAAATTTATCTACCTCTTTCCAAAATGAGGGGATTATTGATTGGTTATATTGTTTTAATACTCCACAGTAGAATGAATGACAGAAAGGAAAAATAAGCATTTACTAACCACAACCGGAACTTTACTTTTTCAAGTAAATGTACCCAAATCTTATTAGAGGAAGCTGTTCTCACTGTCACATATATTATAAATAGGTTACCTTCAAGATATTTGGGATTTAAAACTCCTATAGATCTACTCTTACAATTTTATCTCAACTTTAATACCACAAACAACTTCACACATAGAATATTTGATTGTACATAATTTGTTCATGTTCACAGTCATAATAGGAGAAGTTGGATCTTAGAGCAATTAAATGCATTTTGTGGGGTATTCATCAACTTAGAAGGGGTATAAGTGCTATATTTGCAGATGTCACTTTTTAAGAAAATAAATCATTTTTTACTCAACCTTATCTTCTGAGGGAGGCTTCATGCATGAAAGATAAGGATAAAGACTTCTTTTTGCTTAACTTCTCCTCCTCTTCAACATTTTCAGCTATTAATTTTTTAAGTTTAAACTTGTCTCTTTTAAGTTCAAGTTAAATACTAAATTTGAGTTTGAACCTATTCCTAACACAGAAGATGTGACAAGGGATAATATTATTCTTGATTCTACGAAGGAATTACAAGTGTACTCAAGAAGGAAAGTTCCAAATCTTGAACCAATGCAAGTCCAAGAATCTAATCCTAACTCTGAAAATGAGGTAAGTACAGTCTTTGACTCTGTTTTTCAAAATGAGCATGAATATTCTAAAACTATAACTAGTGATTCTGATCTGCTTATTGCCATTAGGAAAGGAACCAAAGAATGTACTAAACATCCACTATACCCAATCTCTAATTTTTTGTCATTTGAAAAATTCTCACTATCTCACAAATTTTTTCTTATGAGCTTGAGCACTATTTCTATTTCAACTACATTATCCGAAATATTATCTAATGAGAATTGGAGGCAAACCATAAAAATAGAAATATAGGGCTTAGAGAAAAATAAGCCATGAAAACCGGTAGAGTCACTTATAGGAAAAAAATCAAGTTGGGTGTAAATAGGTTTTCACTGTAAAATACAAAGCAGATGGTACTGTTGAAAGATATAGGACCAGGTTGGTGGCTAAGGGCTACACTCAAACTTATGGAGTGGATTATCAGAAAACTTTTGCTCCAGTTGTCAAGATGAATACAGTTAGGATTTTGTTATTATTGGCTGCAAATTATAATTAGCAGCTTCAACAATTTGATGTAAAGAATGCTTTTTTACATGGTGATTTGAAATAAGAAATATAATAAAGGTTCCACTGGGATTTGAAAGTCATCTAAAAACAAACAAAGTATGTAAGCTGAAAAAGGTTTTATATGGCCTCAAACAATCTCTTAGGGCCTAGTTCGAGATATTTGTCAAAGTGATGCTAGCAATGCGATATAAGCAGAGTTAAGAGGGTCACACATTGTTTATCAAGCACTCAGATTCAGTGAAAGTCATAGTTCTATTAATATATGTTAATGATATAATTATAACCGAAGATAATGAAAAAGAGAGAAAATCTATAAACAATATTTGGCCAGAGAATTTGAGATAAAAGAGCTAGCGCGATTGAAGTACTTTCTAAGAATTTAAATAGCTCACTCATGACATGATATTTTTATCTCACAACAGAAATATGTGATGAATCTTTTGAAGGAAATTGGGAAGCTTGTATGTAAACTTGCAAGTAATCCTATAGAAACTAATTATAAACTTAGAAAAACTAATGAAGATGCTACTGTAGATAGAAAGATGTACCAAAGATTAGTTGAAAGACTCATTTATCTCTTATATACTAGACTTAACATAGCATATGTTGTGAGTGTGATAAGTCAATTTATTTATAGTCCTAAAGACGTGCACCTACAAGTTGTTTATCATGTACTACACTATTTGAAGGCTAATCCTAAAAGAGGTATCTTATTCGAAAGAAATTCGGGACTGGTAGCATATACAGATATGGATTATGCAGGTTTAGTAATTGATAGAAGATTCACCTCAAGCTACTACACTTTCCTAGGTGATAATCTTGTAAATTGAAAAAGTAAAAAACAAAATGTGATGGTAAGATCAAGTGTTGAAGCAGAGTTTAAAGTAATGGCTTAAGGAATTTGTGAACTACTATGGTTCAAAATTATCCTAGAAGACTTGAAAATCAAGTGGGATGGACCAATGAGACTCTACTATGATAACAAGTCTGCAATAAGTATTGCACACAATCCTGTGCAACATGACAGAATCAAATATATTGAAGTAGATAGCATTTTATAAAGGAGAAACTAGATAGTGGGTTGATTTGTACACCGTATGTATCAACTAAGAGTCAACTTGCAATTTGGTTGACTAATTGTCTCAGTAGTGTAACATTTTAAGAAATTATTTACAAGCTGGGAATGGAAAACCCCTATTTACCAGCTTGACGAGGGTGTGGGAAAACACTTAGGCTTTGTTTGTTTCACAGTAAATTACTTTCGAAAAATGATTTGCGTATTTTCAGATGTTTGTTTGACAGAAAATTAGCTAGTTAACGAAAAATGACTTATTGGTCAATGAAAAAAAAAGTCATTTTTCTGAAAATTATCTTACTAATTTAAAAAGAGGAAGACATTTTCTGGAAAAGAACTATCTATGAGTAGAACTACTTATCAATACTTTTGAGCATAATTTTATTTATAAATAATATTATATTAATAAATAAATAATATTATATTATAATATATTAATAAATAATATACTATTAATATAATATATTAATAAATATTATTAATAAATAATATATTAATATATTAATAAATAATATAAAGAATAATAAATAGTTTTATTTTAAGTATTTTTTATATTAACAAAATATTTTAATATTAAATATTATTATTAAAATATAATTATTTTTTAAGATTAATAATTTTAATAATAAATAATTTTTAATATTTTAATAGTCATATTAATATTATTTAAAAAAATAGATTTTTCAAAAAACAACCAAACAACTGAAAATATTTTTTATTAATTCATCCAAATAATAAAAAATCTCTCTCAATTCAAAAAATATAAACATTTTCTAGAAATCATTTTTTGAAAGTCAGCGAAACAAACAAAACCTTATTTACAGCTAGGTGTAATTTTATAATCTGTATATTTATATTTTTATCTCTAGAATTAAAGCATTTATATCTCTAGAATTAAGGATGGAAAATTATGATAGACAATCTCTCAATTATAAGATCAGTTTTAGGAATATTTAGTTTTTTAGTTTACTTACCAGTTAGTTGTGTATAAACCTAAGGTGCTTGTATAATTCTCTGATGAATAGTTTTTCAATATACATTTAATTTTACTCTTAGTTTTTCACAAAGTTTTATTTCTTAAGTTTTTCTACATAAAGTAAATGTAAATTAGTTTTTAGTTTTTTTGGATTTATAAAGGCATATTTTGCCTTTAACATTGTTGTTTTTCCTTAAGGAAAATAAACTTCTTCCTTTTACCAAGAGCTTTGTTGTGCCAATTGAATTGCCGTGTGGCTCATTAGTCTCCTAAAGTTTTCTTTAGAATAAGGAGCTGGTAATTTAAGCTCGTCCTTTACTTTTGTTGCTATCTTGGTCTTCTCAGTTCATTTAGGCATGCATGTAAGAATTTACTTATGTGATCTAGGTTGATCAATAAAAATGGTTGTTGGTGTTTCATTGTCAGTCTCTAACAAGCATTGTGACCTTTGGCTTCTGCTTGGACTGCTTTCAACATTTTTGAAGCATGGTAGATAGAGTGTCTGGCTTTCTGTATGGATATATTGAGCTTAATCTCTTCTTCTGGGGGTTATGCACTATTCGCCGTAAGTCACTTGGCTCAGTTTTGGAAATATAGGAGAATATATGGTCATAAAGGATTAGAATAATGCATGGAAACTTCTGTTGTTCTTAGGAAATGCATCTCTAAAATTCACATGAATATCCAGAGTTTTTTGCAGTGTATCTATAGGTCTTCGTCTGATTTTTTGGAATGGACAAGAGTAAGGAGAATGCTTAATATGCTTTTTCCACTTAGGCATTTTCAACCCCTTTTATTTGGTCTATTTTTCAACTACATATAAAATGGTTTGAAAATGCGGTTGCATTTCAACTACAAATAAAAGATTTCTTTCTTCAACCCCTGTCTAAAATCTTAGACATTTTGCAGTGTATCTCTAAGAATATTGCAGTTATTCTTAGCTACCTTTTAAGAACATCTATTGATTTCGATTGAACTCCTGGTTTTTATGTACTGTTGAAAATTTCAGTTTACTGCTGAACTATTGCACCTAATTTTTCAGCCATATTGGGTCTATATTTTTCAGAGACAAAAATATTTCATCATGGTGTTTTTATGAATTCTGATTATTGCAGGTTTCTAAAACATTTGGTGAGGGAAAAGTTTCCTTTGAGGAATACGTATTCACCGTAAAGAATACAGTTGGCATTGGTATGCTCATAGAAGCTATAGGTATTGGCAAAGGAAAGCAAGACCTAACTAGCAATGCCATGGAACCAGTAAAAGCCAATCATGTAGTTTCTTTTCGTCCTGAAATACCAGTTGGAAAAGCATGTTCTACTCTTGCATCTGCAGATATTATCAAGTTTTTAACAGGAGATTTTAGGTTGAGCAAAGCTAGATCCAGTGATCTTTTCTGGGAAGCTGTTTGGCCTCGCCTTTTAGCCAGAGGCTGGCACTCTGAACAGCCAAAGGATCAGGTTTTTTCTGGTTCAAAGAATTCTCTGGTGTTTCTTGTACCTGGTGTTAAGAAGTTTTCAAGAAGGAAGCTGGTGAAAGGTAACCACTATTTTGATTCTGTTAGTGACGTTCTTAATAAAGTTGCTTCAGAACCAGGGCTTCTTGAGCTTGAAATTGAAGTGCCAGGCAGCAGAGAGAACAAAGAAAATAAGTGGGACCCAGTAACAAAACAAGATCCTGATTTTATGACAAATAAACGTAACCGATACCTCAAGCCACGAAATTCTGGTTGCAGTCGAGATTTAATGAAGTTTACAGTTGTAGATACTAGTTTGGTCCAAGGGACTCAACGATCCAAGGTTAGAGAACTGAGAAGCTTACCACTTGAAGCTACGAGCTTATCCACCCCCTCTGGTATTTCCAGCGATTCTGAGGAGGATACATCTGATGACTCAGAAGATGATGCAGAAGAAAATAGTACTTCAAATGCTGCAGAGTCCATGGCTAATGGGGAAGAATATGTGGACTTATCAGATTGTGTAAATAGTAATTCAAACATCGTCATTCCCCACACCTCTGATACCAGCATTATATCAATGGAAAATCATGAAAGCCATAACACAAGTCTGCTTGATGAGAAGGAGAAAAAGGTTATGAAGTATAATTTCAGCCGAAAGGTGCAGTCTAGTGATTCCAAATATTTGGCTCCTGTTATTAAACAGCAGGGTTTAACTGATTGTGTCAATGGAGAATCAAGCTGTAGTGTTGAAAACTTTTCTGCTGAGAGGATGTTAAATGAAGACAATTCGCACTGTAGGTCTAGCTTGCCTGATGCTTGTGAAGCTATGGTTTTTCCAATGGGATCCCCAAACTTGTCACCTGCCAGTTCTTTGTCTAAAGGCGGTGCTGATGAGGGAAAGGAAGGCATTGTCACTGAAAACTGCCTTCATGGAGAAGAATCTCTGATAAAAACGCAGTTACATGCTTTGATAAACTTGAATGTTCGTCAAGTATCAATGGATTTTGAAACCAATGGACCCTTCATCACAGAGACGGTGCAAAATATTGACAATTCGGGTGCTCATATATCATTCTTTCAGTCCGAAATAATGGTGCAGCCTGAACCATTGAAGCTTCCTGATAAAGGCGCAGAGGTCAATCAGCATCCTGTAATGCACAACCGGAGGCAGAGTACCAGGAACCGACCATTAACAACAAAAGCTTTAGAAGCTCTTGAATGTGGGTTCTTCAGTCCCAGGAGGAAGAGAAAAGTTGCAGAGGCTCCACAGAATAACTTACGAAGAGTTCGTGGCAGGCCTGTTGTTAATGCCCTTTTTAGAAATGTTGCTTGTAAGCCCAACATGGAGGAGAGTTAGATTGGTTTCTGCAGTGCCAAAAAATGGCCAGTCGGTCTCAAATCTGAATCTGATACGTGGAGAAATGAGTGGACTAATTGCTAAGCTGGTCCTGAAAAAACCACGTCTCCCTCCACGGCCTCCAAAGCATTGTGTTTTGGGTGCTTTTCATTTTTTTAGTCAATAATTGGGAGTGCATATGTTTCCTTAATCAAACTAGGAAAACATAACACTCCATTCACCCAACCAGCTGCAGATTCGTGACCAATGTCAGGTGAAAAATTGAAGTATCAAACATGTTCATCTTACATAAGTCAGACGAAACTGATGCGGGGTTATAATCTCAGAAAGAAGAGGAGGGGAAACAATTCCTTAAACCGGAGTAACCTTTTTCATTGTGGGAGCAAATGACACAGGTGGTTCTTACTGTCTTCTAGATAACTGACTTGCAAACGGTATTCCTTATAGGGGTTTGACTGCTGAATAATCGTAATGCCAACCTTTGATCTTGGTGAAGCTGACTGTTATTTTCTCAGTTAAATAAGTTCTCTTTCTGTATAAACTTTGTCCTCAAAAAGTGTATAAAGCAAAAGAATTTTACTTTTATATTAGATTTTCAATTTAACAAAGTTGTCCTATTGTTAGTATTATATTTTTTTAACAAGCATATGGTCAAATTTTTAATTAATAATTTTTTATTAAACACGAGGAATGGAAAAGGAAAAAAAAATTGGAGAATCAAGAGTCAAGATTAATAGCACTTATTATTCTGAAAGTGAAACAAAGTTTAACCAAGTATGCAAGTCAAATTGCTCGTAATCTTTGATTGATACTATATTTCAGTTGGAATAGGTCGGTCGCATTGCGTGATTTGTTGTTTGCAGTTTCTTTCTTTTAGTTGTCTATGAAATTGCCATTGCAGGATATCTGAGTTTTTTTTTCTGGATACAACTTCAGAGAGAGGTCAAAGTAATTGGCAGGCAAAAAACTAAGCACTTGAATTGAAGCCAGTCAAAACACACAGAAAACAAACGTTCAATCAATACTCAAAATGCCAAAATTTTTTCGCTGGCATGTTACCTACCTGGGAAAAAGGGAAGAAAAGGAAACTTAAACCATATAAAAACAATGGGAACTTTCCTCCTAAACCTGTAGTATTTTTTTTTTTTTACCCATTTTCGAGTTATCAAACGGTTGCAGATCATTGATGTTACTGGTGAAAATGAGCCATGTTTTCGAGGTGGGAAACCGCTGCTTGAATTACTAGGCAAACAAGAGTAGGCTCAGCTCTGCCTCTAGAATCGAGGGTCTCTTTCAATTTTCATTCTCTAACATGAAGAAAACCTTATTCTTCTCACATCCGAATCAGGCCTGATCTTAATTATCCAAAGGGCAAAAAAAAAATTTTAATTCTTGATGACATGGTCAATGTCACGGACGGACCATACCTAGGCCCATTTCCACTTCGAGCCCTAGAGCTTGGGACATTTTTGCTGAAAATTTGTCTTACATAGACTAAGGTCTGAGAGACCCCACTTCACAAGGCTGATGGTGATAACTGATGATGATGTTAATCACTATTAATGTTATAATTCAAAACCCAATTCCTATTAGTCTAAATAATGATTTTCATCTTTCTCACTTTCTAGATTATCTTCAACAAGTCAAAAAGGTGTTGGATTCCCAAAGATTTTTCTTTCTCTCCAAATAATCTCCATCAATGCTCCAGTGATTGCCAGGGTTGATATCTCCACGTTTTTAAAAGAAATTAACACTTGGTTAGAATTTGAAGCAAAACCTGTTTGGGATTTAACACGATGAAAAAAAAAAGAAAAACAACTGATTAGACGTGATGTAATATTTATGTCATAAATTTTTTCGAATAAAAAAAATTACAGACAAATAACTTCCTTTGCTTATTTAATTAACTTTAATTGAAACTATATCTAGAGCTTCTAATAAAGTGATTCATGTATTTATTTTCTCTTTTGTTTTTAGTTTATAAATTTCAAATTGGGACCATTTGAAAGCTACGTTCTTACCGTAGAACCAGTCAAAATGAAACAAATTATTTCAAATCCACCAATTTACAATAATATTGAAAATTAACCATCACCAGACACAAAATAGACCAGGTTCACACTTGATGCAAGACTAAAATCTTTAAAAAATCTTTCTCCTTAATTACTTTTTATTCCTTTCTAATTCATCGTAAAAAACACGTCAGTTTCAACAAACAATAGAATATTCATGATTGGTTTTTTTTTTAACCTCAATCAAACATCGTTTTCATAAAAATATATATATTTTAAAAAAAGGAAAGAATGCAAGGCCATGGCCGTCTTTTCTGTTGTTTATATTCCATGGGGTTACTTAGCTTATGTCAATTAGAAACCTGGTTCGTTCTAAATTATTCAGCATTTGTGACACTGCAGCATCTGAATGGTGTTTAGGGTCGTCCTTTATATTCGATCTTTGCCATAAAATAACCAGGAAAATGTATAATGTTGGAACATTTTTGTCTTCACACTGTTGTGTTTATGTTTGCTTCATAAATTCTATCGATCCGCCATCGATGATAACCAAGCAATTCTGTTTGTCTTAACTAGTAGTTCGTGATGGAGAAGTAGCAGATACTTGCAAAATGGTACAGTTTTGAAATATGATTGACCTGAGTTTTGGAACTTAGCCAATGGTTCATATTCTTATTTCTGTCTCTTTGTTGTTTCTCATTCTACAGCCGGGCTTCTTGCTGTTTCTTATTAAACATGTGAACTAATTTTTGGAAAACTAAATCCTGCTAATTGACATGGATGGTTCAATTTTCTTCTTTCAATTGGAAAAAACTGAAAGAAAATGCCACTAAAGAAAAGTGATCATCTGGTTTTTAACATGAAATACGATCAAGAAAGTTCAAGAGTATGATCTGTTTTTTTCTCAAAAATACGATATTTGTGGTGATATTTTGGGATTTAGTTTTGGTCTTATCCAAAATTTCGATAATGGTTGTTAACTGAACATATTAGTATTGAACAAATGAACAAGCACTTGTTCTTCCCTGAGTTCAGGATTGTCTTGTCAGTTAGGCAAATGGCTAATACGTTTTTTCTAAAGTATCACTTTTTCTCCCCTTTTGATTGAACTATAGCGTCACCTCCATCATGCTTGAGTCGGAGATAAAAAAAAACACACACACACAAAACCCATTGGCCATAAATAAGGATAGCTTTAGCATCCCTAGAGAATCAAATAAAATACTTTTGCCCTATAATATTCTTAGACAATTACAAGAAGGATTTAGTTAGAATGATGGAAATTCAAACGCTTATAGAATGTGATATTATACAAAGTTTCATGTGTTATCAGATGATATATTGTAAATATAATTTTTAAATTGTGATATGTTTTATATAAAAAAATTCATAGTAAAAGAAGAAAGTGTATAATAGAAACAATATTTTTATAAGCACAGCTTTTTCTTGTTCAGAAAATTCAGTAATTAGGATAAAAAGTCACATTGATGTAAAGCAAATCCAGAGGCATAGTTTTACCGGTTGAAACAAAAGAAATTCTGGGTAATGCAATTGTTTAAGATTACATACAAGTTTAGATGTCGTCGTTACTCTAAATATTATAATACTGTAACCTAGAAAACAAAGCAGCAGCCATCTTTAATGGGGTTAATAACTTATGTATAAGATATTGAAACTCTGGACACTGACTTGTTTGGTTTCCTTGATCGTTTGGATCAAACCAGACAAACAGGATTCGGCACAGTTTCAACTGATAACGGAGACGCATCCTAATGATATAACAAGCTTCTTGCACCTTTTTTTTATTGGTTTAATCATTATTTGTTAGGCAGCCTTTTATATTATTACAAAATATTTAATATGATATCTACATTGAAAAAAGTTTCGATTATAAAGTTAAATTTTGAATCCGTTTATCAAGTAACATCAATTTTGAATACTAAAAATATTAATGCGACCATCAATCAATAAAAATTTGACATTTGTATAGATATTGAATCTGTAAATGACATGTGTCATATTAAGAAATAAAATAAATAAAAAAAATAAAATATAAAAAATTGAAAAAATCCAAAAATAAAGTAAAGTAAATTTTCATATTTGATTGAACATTTTTTATTATAAATATCATATTAAACATTTTTTGATAAGAAATTTATCCCTTCTTGATTATATATTGTGATATAGACTGCAAAATTGTTTTTGCAAACTAATTTCATGGAGTGGGATAAATGCATAGAAGGAGAGAAATATAAAAATTAAATTAGTTTTAAAGATGATCATTGTTCAGATGTAAATTCCTACTGTTTTATAAAATAGAATTTACACATTTTCAAAAAGTTTGAACTCAAAATCTGTGAAGATGAAGAAATTTGCTCAACACAATAATTGTCCAATCTTTTCAAGTATAATTGAATTTTAAACTTGAATTGATGGACTTAATTTCTTTTCAACAATTGATATCTTTCTTTAGCTAGTTGAATTTATGTCTTATATATCATACCTTCAATTTTTTTTATTTAAAATTATCAAAATTTGATTTTTAATTATTAAATTTAAAAATTTAACATTCTATTAACAAATCATGTGATTTTACATCAACAAACTATAACTTAAATTCTAATGTCTGCTTAAATATGTCATGTGAAGCCTACAGCCTTGCTCTAGCCAAACTTTCTTGGTTTTTAATTTACTCCCAAATCATAATGCTATAGATTGATAAGAAATCTAATTAATTTTCTCATCCAAATTAATTTCTCTAAGCTTTAATTTGATTTTGTTTTGGTAACAAAAATTTTAACATTACTGTCATAGTAACATATTAGTATTATTCAAGGAAAGGCATCCTGGGGAACCAATTAAACTAATTTATATATAAAAAATAACAATGAAAAAGAATGGCAATTTATTTAATAATGATCATATTAGGGGGGCAATTTCCTTGTGCTTGTCCTTTTCAAATTTTAACCCTGTACATATATATTTATATAAAGCCAAAGAAGACCAGGTTCCAATGTTAGCAGCTAGAACCCTCTTCTTTCACCAGGAATGAAGGAGAATTCCCTGGTTTTTGTCTTCCTCTAGAGAGAGCAGATTCCTGATTTTATGTTCACCAAAAAACAAGCCTCCACTTTTTGTTAGAGCACCAACAACAAGAAAGGAAGAAAGAAACAATAGGATTTGGAGCCAAGGAAAAGGAAACAGACAAGCTTGTATATTATCAATATATCTTTCCTCTCAGTTTCAAATGTCAAATATCTCAGGTGATGACGGAAGCTTCTCTTCAGGAAACGCTGGAGAGGAAGTCCAGCCTCTTGAAGAGAAGCAGCAGAAACAACAGCTGCAAAATAACTTGACTAGCTCTGGTTCAGGACCTTCTGGTGCTTCTAACAGCAATGGTTCTACCACTCAACAGCCACAACAAGCAGTTAAGAAGAAAAGAAATTTACCAGGAACTCCAGGCAAATCCATTTACCCTTGAATCTTTCTTCTATGCTAAGTTTATCTAATTCAGGTGACATATATTTGATCTTATAAGATCAGGTAAGTTCCGATGAAATATTTAACTGATGTGGTTTTTAGATTTGATCCGTGATTTGAGTTAGATGCATGGCTCTGAGTTTTACATATTCTTCAATAGAAGCATGCATGTCAAGGTAGATTTGATCCAGTTAAGCAGCACAAAAGAACAAGATTTCTAATGGGGGTATCTTCCAAGAAATAAATAGCCTTTAGGAAGAAAAGATTAATTTCTAATTTGTTATATAAAAGGTTCAATTATTGCTATTAGTTTACAATAATTGCCAAGAACTGTTTGCTTGATTGCACTTTTTACTTCTCTTTTTGTTTTCTGACTGTGTTCTATTTGGTTATTGGCTCTTTGGGGTCCAACTGTCCTAGTAAGAATACAGAACTCTCTTGCTTAGATTACAAAAACAATTACTTAATTCTTTTTTAAAGGTAAATCTTCTACTACCTCATGCTCTCATTGAACAATTGGTAGTCTTTTGAAATAGTTGTATAATTGTTGCTCGAATTAGATCCAAATGCTGAAGTTATTGCTCTATCACCAACAACGCTTATGGCGACAAATCGATTCGTGTGTGAGATATGCAACAAAGGGTTCCAAAGGGACCAAAACCTTCAATTGCACCGAAGAGGTCACAATCTTCCCTGGAAGCTTAGGCAAAGGATAACCAGTGAGGTCAAGAAACGAGTCTACATATGCCCCGAGCCAACTTGTGTCCACCACAACTCGGCTCGTGCACTAGGGGATCTTACAGGAATAAAGAAGCATTTTAGCCGTAAGCATGGCGAGAAGAAGTGGAAATGCGACAAGTGCTCAAAGAAATATGCTGTGCAATCTGATTGGAAAGCTCATCAGAAGACCTGTGGTACTAGGGAATACAAATGTGATTGTGGAACCATCTTTTCAAGGTTTATATACTTTATATTAGAATTTTTAATCAAATTTAATGATTTGCATCCGCTTTCTGCATGAAGAACTGAAATTGATATATATATATATATATATATGTATGTATGTATATGGTATCCTTTACAAGGTACATAAATCTATATATATATATATATATATATATAAAAATTCAGTGCAAGGTGTTCAATGATTATCTGATGATGACTCTAAAGTTTTGCATTGTTTTACATGGTAATTTCATAACTCTACAGCAAAACTGGATTTTATAAAATTTCTTGTTGGATGCAGGCTGTCTTGCATATATGTTTTAGATTATGCATTAATTATATCATCTCTAAGCTCTCCAAATAAAAGAAATGTTGGAAAATATTGGCCGACAATTGATAGGCTTTTTCATACTTTAGTTTTGACCCCATTTTTATTTATCATATTTCAAAATCTCTCTCTAGATCAAAAGTACTGTTTCTTATCAAAATTTTTATCCAATAACAAACCTAATTTGACCCCACTGCTTATTCTTTGTGCAGAAAAGACAGCTTCGTCACGCACAGAGCATTCTGTGACGCATTAGCTGAAGAAAACAACAAGGTAAACCAAGGACTAATGAACAACATCAACATGGGATCAAACTTACTAAACCAAATGCCAGAGCTCATGTCATCAATGCCAATGAGCAATGCCAACACATCTCTGGGAACATCTGACTTCAACAACATTGACCCGAAAAACTCGCTCAAATCCCTTCCCCAAGAGCTAGTGCCAATGCCGTTTAAGCCTATGAACATGGGTGGAGGCATGTTTTCAAGCAGCTCTGGCACTCTGTTTGGCAGCCAAGGAAGCATTTCCTCAGCTTCCTCTAGCCTACAACTTAGTTCAAATAACCCATCTGGCTTCAATTATTTACAAAACAGCAACAATGCTTGCCAAATTGACGGGTCGCCCCACGTGTCAGCCACAGCCTTGTTGCAGAAAGCAGCCCAAATGGGTGCAACTGCAAGTAATAGTATAAACTCTCCCATGATGCAAAAAAGCTTTCCTAGTAGCATGGCAGGTCCTGACCAGTCCATTAGACCAACATATTTTGGAGGAATGCAGCAGCAGAACACATCTTACGAACACTTTCCATCACAAACCGATCATTCAAGCATGGTTGGGATCAACGAGGGAGGGTTCTCTAACCCGCTCATGCAAAAAAGCCCCAATGAAATGGTCCAACTTTTCAATACTGTGGCAGGAAGCTCAGGAATGAATGATATGGGAATTTTCACTAACATGTTCATTAATGGAGCTGACCGAAACCAAGGCTTGATAAAGAACATGGAACATGAAGATTGTGGCAGTTCTAGCTTATTACAAGGGAGAACTCAGGCGATCGAAAGGAACCCACCAGGGCCAGCAATATTTGGAGCGAGCAATGGAGAAAATAACATGACGACTCTTGATTTCATGGGGATTGGAGTGTCAAGGCCAGTCAATTTGCATGAACAGCAGCATCAGCAACAAAGATTAGAATTGGAAGCAATAAGCCAACAAAGACTGCCAATGATAAACCCTTTTCAGCAACAGCTCTCACATGGGAATTCCGCTATTGCAAAGTCCATCTGGGATGTCTGAGAGCCACAGGTTTTTTTGTTACTTTTATCTGTCAGTTGTCCTTGGAAGATTTTCTTGCTCTTGTCTGTGACAATGCTGAGATGGCCACTCTGGCATTGGAAACCAAATGGGGCTCATGGGGTACACACCAACTTATCTATCTTCAAACAATGGGCCTGACTTTTTAAATTCATGATGACCCAGCGATAAGTGGGAGTAGACCTCGCGATTCGTAAATGAGAATCATAATTAAATATTAAAAATAATTTTTATATAATATTAAATAGTTAATTAAATGTTATAATTTAAAAATTAATAATTAAAATAATTTTTATATATTTATATTAAATTAAAATAAATATAAAAAATATATTAAATATGTTACATGTATATTTATATGATAAAATTAAATTAAATATGTAATTAATTGTGTTATGTGTTTAGACGTATTAATATATTAATAAGTATAAGATATAAATTATATTATATTAAAATTCGTATCGATATAAATAAATATAAAATATATTTTTTAAAATATATAATTTTTTATATTATATCATTATATTGTATTTAAAATTATCAAAATTAAGTAAGAGAACCACGTGTCGATCACGAAATAACCTAATCTCACTCTTCGAAGACATTTTCTTCAAAGTTTAAAACAAACAACAAATATGAAACTCCGTTTCCTTTCCACAGCCAATTTGTACCGAGAAAAAAGAAACGCTGATACAGACACACTTGGTAAGTAATGTAATCCTAAAATGTAGAACCAGCTTGGGCCACTTTCCATGGAAAATGTTTTCCACATGAATATGAAAAATGATAAAAATAAATAAAAATTCAGCAGAGACTATCTGCTTTTACCCCATCTTTCAAGTCGTAGGAATCGTACATATTCATCATACCTAACATCCGCTTTTACCCTCCCCACCCCAATTAAAGACTATCATTTCCCAACTTTGTCCCACTAGATGGACTCACAATGCTATTGTTTATTTTCTATTTTTGAAGTCAATTTTTGGTGAAATTAATTGAATCCAATATTACATGCTACATCTGACTAGGAATCTTATGATACCTCACTCTCTTATCTTCAAATGAGTACTTATTGTTTGACCATTAATAATGAGACTATTAAAATTTGACTATTGATGACGAAAATTAAAATTTTATTATTTTACCAATGAATAACTTAATTATTAAATTAAAAATTCTTAATCCCTTTCTCCTCCTAGAATATGTTAAAAATATTCATTCTCTATAGTTAAGTTTCTATCATAAAATTAGAGATAATCTTGTTAAATGATTGAATTTTATAAAAAAAATGATAAAATACAAAAAATTATATTTATTAGATTGTACAACGTGAATAAAACCGTAAGTACCAAAAGCAACTATGCGAATGAAATAAACTCTGGTCAAATGAGAAGTGAAAAACAAGTGGGCTTAGACTAGGATGAAGCCGGAGCCCAGAATTTCAGGAGTCCTTCAAAGCCCAAATCAGCTATCTGCCCATTCTGGTGAACGCAGGGTTAGGCTCGTAATAAGGCTTGCCCCTTCTATCCTCTCTCACCAACGGGTTAAAAACCCTAACCCTAATTTAGATTTTCTATTTATACGCGATAGCGAAAGCCAACTTCGCAGCCGAAGCCAAATCTTCGGATTCGCTTTTTTATATAATTCAATCATCTTTTTTATCTCAATTTCCTAATCTTTACTCTTCCTCCCATAGGCACATCAGGTTCGGCGTTGATAAACTTTTGAAGCTTTGATTTTTTTTTTTTTTAATTTTCAATGATAAAAAAGGGGAGGCGGTGATGTTGAAAACTACCTATTTTATGAAGGGTTTTTCGCCCATTTTGTGATTAGAAAATCACCAATGGATCCTTCTGAGCCTTCTTCTCTCATTTTCTTCCCTCTCAACTCCAAACTTTAGTTTTTGATGAGAAAGAAAAATTGATAGGTTAATTTTGTTAGAGTCTGATTTAGAGCCATTGAGATGATGATATCCTTTTCTGAAAAATATAATGTCGACTAAAAAAAATCAGACTACAATTATCTGATCACTTGGCTCTCTATCTCCCTTTTTCTCTTTATTTTCGTGTCAAATTTGTTTTGCTTCTTTTTTCTCTCACTGTTTTGATAATATTTACTTTCATTTTCAAGGTTTTTCTTTTTTTAATATTATTTAATCCATTTTTTTTAATAAAAGACAATACATCTTTTAAGATAATTTTTTGTTTCATTTCGGACGAGTAGAAACGATAGGAAGAATAACAAAGATTTTATATCGCGTACATCACTTAGATGAACTTTAGATAGTCGCATAAAAAAGAATGAAGAAATGGAATATGAAAGAGAACACAAAAATAAATAAATAAATAATAAGGAATTGGATTTTATTCGTACTGTAGCTGTGTTGAGTTTGTTATTTCTATCTTTGAACTCTTCTACACCATATTTTTGGTGTATGAAATATTAACATTCTTTTTTAATGTAAAGAGAATAAAAAAAAAAAGAACGATAATGAAAGTTTTTTTACTGCATTATTTATTATTTTTATTACATTTAATTATAATAGATTCTTTGCTTATCAAAAAAATAGAAAAAATAAATAAATAAAGGATTTACTTTAAGATAACTAGTTAGATAAGTATGTATTATGTTAATTTATATCAATTAATTTGTAAAATAAATATTCATACAAATTAGTCATATGTCGAAAATCATATATGAACTGATGATACGAGGGTTTTCAATCCTTTGTTCTACCGAGTTATCTCGATCATTATTGATGGATTATCTTATAATACTGGATGATTTGGGTTTATGTCAATTAAAAATGAAAACAAAAACAATGAAAAAATATTAAATTAAAAGGAGAATTTCTTAGATATTTCAAAGGAAGATTTTGTAAATTTCAATATGAGTAATCATTCAAATAGGTATTCCTTTTTCAAAAATGTTGATTTGTACATATTTCATACATAAATATATATACGAGACAAGACTTTGTGACAAGAGAATAAAATTCTACTAGAACACGCTTGTAAAATGAAAAAAAATAGAATGAATGAGAAACATGAGAAACTTTAAATTACTAACAAAAAAAAGAAAAAGATAAAATAAATAGATAGCAAACCAGCTTTTTAAGGTTGGGGATAGAGGAACTTGAGAACAAAATTCAAATGTAAAACTTGGATTTTAATTTTTTTAAAAAAAGTATATAATAATAATCAGTTGAAAGTTGACTCAATTGAGTTTAAACAGCCACTTTTTTCAAGCTTTATGTAAGTCATCTTATTGAGATAAAAACATCTGGATTACTTGATACAATAAGAGGTTTATGCGTACTACTTACAATAAGAGGTTTATGCAGGGGTTACATAAGCGCTTTTTAGTAAATCAAATATTACTTATTAATTTCCCTGCTAAAGATGTATGGAAAACAATGTGTATAATTACGATTGGTACCGAAAACACCACAGGAAGAGAGTCCTGGTTTTTTGAACAATTGAAACTTTGCTATGTATACTTGAACTGCGGAATTGGACTTCCCAATCTTAGCTGAACATTGACATGAACAATGTTTGAAGCTGCATTCAGTATCTCCTTCTCTGCCTCCTTCCCCGCTTCCATAGCATCACTGTAATGAGGAAAGAAAAGAAATTGGTATTCGATATATATAAGGATATCAGTGGGTAAAGTAAAGTATTTCGCATCCTCAAGTCAATATTAATAGGAATGTCGACAGGTAAGGTAAAGCATTCTGCATCCTCATTTTTATATTTTTATATTATACTTATCATCATATTTACATTCAATAAATATTTTAAATTTATTCACATTCTTATCTCCGTAAATATTTAATGAATATGAGTACTCACCGTACCCTTCAGCGATTAAAAAAAATAAAAATAAAAATTTATTTTTAAAATTTTTTTTATCTTGTATATTTTGATTTTTTTATAAATACATATTAATATATTTTTCAATAAAAATATATTAATTTTAATTAATCTAATAAAATAATTTATATTTACTAAAAAATCTATTTACTAAATATATATAAAATATATATAAAGTACAAATACGAGGTGGATATTATATTATCCTTGTATCTAATAAAAATTTAAAATCATACACATACTCATACCCATCTTTGTAAATACAATATAATACACATTCTTATCCCCATTCAGATAAAAAGTCAAATTTCTCATTAGATACGAATAAGATTCATATCCCTATATATATGATAAACTTTATAAATACACCATATGATTAAAGCCAAAAAAAAGAATACCCCTAAAATTTAAAATATAACATTTAACTATTTTATGATTTATTACATTATTTTTTTACTCAAATCTATTACTTTTTTGTTTTTTTTTTTAAATTTTCTTTTTTTTCTTCATCTAAATTCATTCTTTCTCTCTCAAATCAAACTAATTCTCTCTCTGAAATCAAACAAAACCAAACATGTTAAATATTATTTGATTGTTACTTTTTTAAATATTGTTGTATAAATCAACTAGATCGAGGTTTAAATTCAATCGCCTATTATGAGATTCACATTTTTTTTTTTTTTATATAAAGCAAGTCATTCCATTAATTCTATAAACAGCCTCTTGGGTTACAATGCCTATTAGTTCCACTGGGCAAACATTAAGCCACTGTCAAGTCTCCACATTTTTCACTGCCATTTTAACCAACTTGTGCATCACCTCATTCGCTTCTCTCTGAACAGACATTGCCTTCCAGTTCTGAAACTTGGTTAGACTATATTGGACATCCATTATTTGGTTTCCAATTAAAGACAAATTATGTTCTTGTTGGTCAGTGATCTGGGCAATGATTCCTTGCGCGTCTTCCTCCAGCACAATGTTTGTCCATCCCGTGGCAAAAGCAAACTCACCTGCTTTTGAGATAGCAATTCCCTCTATTATTATTGCATCCCTAATTCCTGGTACAAGTATGGACACTGCTCCTAAGACCCTCCCCTAACAGTTCCTCCTACGTTCCTCTCTGTATTTAAAGCACCATCAAAGTTGATTTTTACCTCATGTTCAGCCAATGTCTTCCACTTTGCCTCTCGTCATATGATTTGAATTTAGAGAGAGAATTAATTTGATTTTAGGGAGCAAAAATAAATTTTTAGAGAGAGAATATAAATTTAGATGAAAAAAAAAGAAAAAGAAATTAAAAAATTAAAAAGAAACCGAAAAAATAACAGATTTTGGTAAAAAAACAATATAACAAATCATAAATTAGTTAAGTATCACGTATTAAATTTAGGGGATATTTTCATTTCAGCCTTTACCATAGGGTATATTTTTAAAATTAATCCACATATATATTGAACAAACCGCCAAAGGAAAAATGAAAGAGAGCTTGTACCGAATCCTGATATCCGGGGGCATGCTAACCTCAACTTCCAGTAATATCTTCCCTTGTAACATGTGATGAGTTATGCGTTCAACCATAAATTTCTGCAAAATTCATGTATTCAACAAAAAAATGTATTAAAAATGTTTTAAGAATAAAGTAGCAAGTTCTGCCCCAAGCAATAGTGTGGTGTTGGCTTGAATAACAGGCAAAAATAACAAGATGAAAACAAAATTCATGATTTCCCTTCCAACAATGGTTAAAGTTTAGATCTGGAGCTTTTTTTACCAAACCATATTTCAACTTGCTACTCCGACTTCAGTGCTTAACACCTTTATCCACAGCATAGTTTATTTATAATTGAGCCTACACTTAAAACACTCAACAAAATGAGAAGAGGTACCTCTGGAAACTTTGATGAAAATATGCAAGAAACAATTGCTTCAACATTTTCCTCCCTGGCAGAAATATTATTATTCCGTTCCTCGATTCTCTTCAAACTTTCTTTCTGGTCCATTACGTCGGGGGAGAACTCTATATATGCAGGATCTACACGTTCCAAAAGGTAAAAAGAAAGTTGATCAGAACAAAGACGCCGACAACTGGTGATGCAAAGACAGTTCTTGCATCAATTTTACAATCCAATAACCAGTAATCTCTTCAGCATGGTATCAGATATCTATGCCTAAAACCACAATATTATAAAGGGCAAAAAAAAAAAGTTAAATTAAATGCTAATCGCCATTAAAGTACATCTTAGCTCAGTATTTACACTGGCCAAAAATCACTTGCTCCAAGATCAATTGTTTCTCCATACCACAGGTTAAATTATCAAGCTGAAAATAGAATAAATGGTCCATGGAAGTCAGAAGAAATTATCAACAAAAGACAAATGATGTAATTACCTAGAGGGAAAGTTCTTTTCTTCTTTCCCTTAACAATCAGTTTTCTTTTAAAGATGGTCATCTTTCAACACAAAATAGTGAAATTACAGCTCTCATCTTAACAAATTTGTTGCAACCAATTCAGTGATGAAGTAACCAAGTAATGTACCTATGTGTATGAAAACTTCAGTCACTTCAGGGTGGGACTCATGAATTTGATGACGAATGTTTTCACCAATGCCATGTGCAGCACTAACACTAGAAAAGGGATTGACCTACATGTCAAAAATAAGGGGAAAATCACAAAGGGCATCAGGAAATCTCAAATAGGCAGTTTAACAGTCAAGCAAAAACACCAACAATATAAAGTACTAGTAGCAACAAACGCTATCCGACTATTTACGGTTAGCTATATGAATCACATTGTTTCATTCTGCTCTATTAAACATCATATCCTCAGCAAGCTTAACAAAAGTGAGGTAATTTTTTATACTTTCTAATCATATTCTCCTTGCGATTTTCACTGGCACTAGAAAATGTACCAAAAACTCACCACGATATGTACATCAAGGTATAGATTAGAACCAGCTCTCCTTGCTCTTAAACGATGGCATCCCTACAGACATTTGTTAAAAGAGTACTTAGGGAGACTGCCAAGAAAGGAAAAGGCATAACTTAATTGTATATTTCACCAGTAGTAACAAGCCAACAGATCACAATATCAAATACCAGGTGCATGTGTCACGGGTCGAGACTCAAGCTCCGAACCCGCGCGGCTCCGGGACCCGGGCATTCCCCCTTTCGGCGTCCCAGATCAGCCTTCTCGCCACGGTTCACACCCTTGTGAGGTATTGTCCGCTCTGGCCCCCTTGGCCTCACGGTTTTGTCCTACAAAAGGCGCCTCACAAGGCGGAGATGGTGTGAACCCTTTTATACCCCAGGGACCTTCCTATTATGTTCGATGTGGGATTCAGGACTCCCCCTTAGGTCCGTGACATTCTCCCGCACCCAACCTCGTGACGCCCTCGTCACGGAGGCCGGCCACCCTGCCTACCTCCCTCGAGGTGCTCGGCGTGGATCGGACGGTTTAGGGCTGGCTCTGATACCACTTGTCACGGGTCGAGACTCAAGCTCCGAACCCGCGCGGCTCCGGGACCCGGGCATTCACCCTTTCGGCGTCCCAGATCAGCCTTCTCGCCACGGTTCACACCCTTGTGAGGTATTGTCCGCTCTGGCCCCCTTGGCCTCACGGTTTTGTCCTACAAAAGGCGCCTCACAAGGCGGAGATGGTGTGAACCCTTTTATACCCCAGGGACCTTCCTATTATGTTCGATGTGGGATTCAGGACTCCCCCTTAGGTCCGTGACACAATGCATC